GCTCTGGCGTAGTTTACGCAAGCACCGGAAGTGATCTCTCGCGCGTATACATCACTCATTGTTTACACAGTGCACAGTCATTGTAGGTATGACGGCTAATAAAATGGTACTTACTTGTGCTTATCTGGATTGTTCAAACCGACTTAAAACTAAAAGATTACGTTCTCTCGCGCGAACTCATTCGAGAGTTATGACTTTCCATGTATTCCCAACTTCTGAGCCTGCTCGCCTGAAGTTATGGTTGATTGCTCTTCAGCTGGATATCAACACACTGTGACGAGTCGGCTGCCTCCCCCTAATTATCAGCATCACCCCTTAATTGCCGCCCTTCGCCAGTCTCCCGACATGAGTGGGTGCATGAGAGAGGAGGGGCGCTGAAATAGCCAGGGCTGGCGGCGTGTAATGGGGGCACACCTGAACCGAATGGCGCCTCATCGCCGCCGCTGTTTAAATGCCGAGCGCTCCTCTCCTTGGGAGACCGGTCTCTTCCCCGTGCATGCATGCTGGTGTCCTCGTGGGTCCAGAAGGGGTGCGTAGAGGGACTCCCGTGCCGCCAGAATCGTGAACTGCCGGACCCGCACTCCGGACGAGAACCGCACCCATTACACGGCCGTTGGGCAAGGATGCTGGGCCGTCTAGTCCCTTCAAGCGCCGTGGGCAGAGAGAAGGACGAAGCCGCTGATAGAAGCCACCGCCCCTCGCGCCCCGGACTGGAGCGGGGAGCGCGTGCGGCCGCCGGACTCCGCCTCTTACCTGGACCCTTCCTTCCTTCCTGATCACTGCCCTTCCCTTCACGAATCCCGCAGCACGACGAGGACACCAGATCCCCTGTTTATTAAACCGATCATTTCGTGTCTTAGGACATCAATGTATCGTCACGAGCCGCAGGGTTTCATTTGGATTTGTCTGTGCATGTTTTTTTTACACTCATAGATTTTGTTACCATTGCCATCCATTATACGACTGATAGACTGCAAAGGTTGGACTTAAAAATCATCAAATGTGTTCTAACAAAGTCACCTACATCTAGGGCTGGGTATCGAGTTCGATACGTTTTAGGCACCGACCGAATTGCCTCGATACCATCGAGTATCGAAAAACGTCTTGTCGTTCGGTACCAAATTTCGATACCTAAGTCGTTTTCCACAGATTAAGAAATATTTTAGTTTGTTTGGGTGGTAATATTAGTTCTATTATATTAATGGGAAGGGGGCCCAAAAATGTCACGAAAATAGGTAAATCCGGACCTGCCATCTAATGTGTGTTTTGGCCAATTTATTTTTTTTTAGATAATGTAATCTTGTTCAAATTGATTTCATAAAATTGGTATCGAAAAAAGTATCGTTCAGGAACCGGTATCGAAGTCAATATCGGTATCGGAAAATTTTGAACGATACCCAGGCCTACCTACATCTTGGATGCCCTGGGGGTAAGCAGATAAACATTACATTTTCATTTTTGGGTGAACTACCCCTTTAAGGCTCAAATATAGCCACACTGTATGTGATACTCACCACAGTCTTGGAAATCCACAATTTTGTCTGTGTAGTAAAGAAATGACTTACGGGACTAATTAAAACTGAATATATACTGTGCCGATGCTTATCTTTTCATATAAAGACATAATTAAATGAGCTACTTTAGACTGAAAAATTGCTTTGAAAAAAGAAAGACATTTTCAAAGTACAGAGTACTGTCATCAGAACAAGAGTAAGCAAATCTCTTTGAAATTAGATGTTTCTTGTTCCAGCTTAATGGGTTTCCAGGATGTAACAAATTAAGGCAAATCAACATAAAATAACGTTTTGTTTGAATGCACATTTTTAAAGTGATTTTAGCATTTACTAATAAAGTTTGAAACAATTATGTTGTATACATTTGCACTCACACAAAACAATAGGGCTGGGTTTTGACACAAATTTCACGATTCGATTAGATTCTCATTCACAAGCTAGAGATTCGATTCGATTACCAATTCGATTCGATATCAATTATTTTGGATACATATCAGGTACAGTACATGCCAAATTTTCTCAAGGAAAAAAAATCTCTCAACTAATGCTGTAAAATATACATGAATCAGTTGGTACTACATTATTATAATATTGAAGGTTAAAATTAACTGATTTGTTAAAATTTCACTTCATGAAGTTTTTAAAATAATAGTTACAATTACATAATATTTCTACTTCAACTTGTTATTTTTAAATATAAACATAATGGTGGATTTATTCAAACAAATTAAACATTGAAGAACGGTAAAATGTATAATGAATATGTTATATGGTGTATATATTTAGCAAAATGCCCCTCTCTACAGTTTATTTTTCTATCGGACTAATGAGTTTATGGTCACCGAATATGTTTTTCTGAGGTAAATGTGACGTTACGTGACATTGTTTACAAGCTGTTATACTGATGTCTTTGCGCGGCTGAAACACTGATTGAGTGTTTTTGAGATTGAGACAGAAAACAGATTGTAAAGTTGTACTCTTTCTTTTAACTTACCTTCGGATGTTTAGTCATGTTTATTGTTTATGTGCTGAAACTGGTATTAATGTAGAGGAGATGATCAGTTCACGTGCGTCTTGCGCTGCCGCGTCTGTTGAACTGAGGAGCTACAGCGATCTGTCACTCCACATTAAACAGAGCCAAAACGGCATTTGTTGTTTGAATACTGCAATACAATAGACAGAATTTGAAACCTGAGACTTTGTTTCATATTAAAAGTACCCAAGCACAATGCTTATTGCGATATATTGGATGGGAAGTGCCCTTCAACGTTCAGTCCATTAACTGAAAACAGGCTAGACTAATCGATTCTTGGGATTTAAGAATCGATATCGTTCCGTAAAAATGAGAATCGATAATTATCGAGATTTTTTACCCAGCCCTACAAAACAACTTCAACAAAAACATTTTTTTATCTATTTGGTATGACCTGCAAATAAGGAATGTGAATAAGCTCACAAAATACTACTAGAAATCAACTTGGAGGTTTGTTTAAGTTAATCTTATTCAGAGCCATAAAACATTTAAAACTAGAAACATCTTCACATTAGCAAAATAGATCACTAAAACCTTGCCATGTAGTAAAGTTTGGGATGCCGAGTCCCTCTCATAACTTCCACTTACATAGACACTGTTAATTTTAACTGACGTGCTCAATGGCAGATGATCAATAGAGGGGAAAAACTGCCCTATGCATGTGTTTAAGTGTGATTCATGACTACATAGGAGAGGAATGAACACATCCTGAGCTTAGCAGCGCTGTCCCAAAAGCCTCATCCTCAGCACATCCTGTGAGCTTATACAGCCTGTCCTATTAATGAGGAAGATTTGTGCTACGCTCCACACACTACCCCCACGCATGATTTACACACCCCAGTGGAGGAACTTTCTTCCTGAGAAAGGTTAGCTATCGATCCCCTTTCCATCATCACTTCCTAGTGGGGCGCTGATCTGAAGGAGTTGTGTTTACCAGCTTTGGACCGGACATAGTAAGCAACATATCAAAGACCTAATTAATAGAATGGACCTAATGCTGCATTATTTACACATGGTGAAGTGACAGGAGGAGGAAGATGGAGAGATGGATGAAGGGAAATTCAGCAATCTTTACTCACGCTCCTCATGGATCATGCTATCACACTAACATTACGATAGGTGAGAACTTTCTTGCCTAATACAGGTGCTGTCTGTCAAGGGTTTCTGGCAGACCATGAGCCTCTCTGTCTTCAAACTCTCTGTCAGAGCCACTGCTTCCTTCAGATCTCTCTCTGTATCTGCAGACGATCAGAAAAATAAAGGGATGAGAGGCCTATTTTGACACACTGATATTTCTAAACTTTGTCAGAGGAAGAGAGCAGAGCCCTGTTTTACCTGTAAGCTGTGATTGTATATCCTGGAGCTCAGCTTCTAGTGATCTCTTCTCTGCCTCCATGGAACTTAGCAAAGTGTTCTTTTGCTTCAGCAAGTCCATCTCTGAGGAACAGCAAAAGTGACAACTTACGTAACCTGCTGGCAGGTGGTTAGAACTACAACAAACAGTCCTTTGAAGAACAAGCACCACTTCAATGACAACTTTGTGGATGCCTTCTGAATACAAAGCTTTGTTTTCACCTTGTCATACCATCTTTATACCTTCGGATATGATTTTATCTGAACCTGAGAAACAACCGTGCATTTTCTGCAAGCTGAATGGCATATTTCAGCATGTCAACAAAGGCTAGGTAGTCATTCAGTGCTTGTTAATCTTGGCTCAAATAGTTTGCTAAATCGTATGGGTGAATGATTTACATTATGATAGCTTCCATAGCTGAGTCAAAAATACTTTAAAATATTTAGTTACATTTTTCTTAAACATTGAATTTATTCGGCAATGAGAATGCATAAAATTGATTGAAAGTGAAAGTAAAAACAATGTTACAAAGAATTTATATTTCAAAATTATATTGTTCTTTTGAACTTTTTATTAATCAAAGAATTCTGAAAGAAAAATGCATTGCAATGCATTGAAATATTAAGCAGCAAAACTGTTTTCAACATTCCAACACTGTTTCTTTAGCACCATTTCAGCATATTATAGTGATTTCAAATGTGACACTGAAAATTCAGTTTTACATCACGTTTAAAAAAATTATTAAAATAGAAAACGGTTCCTAAAATTGTAAAAAAAAAAAAAAACACTACAAAAAATTGCAGTATTACTGTTTTACTGTACCTTTTGATACAAAAAGTATTGACGTGCCGAGACTTAGAAAACTTACCAACCATACATTTTTTAACAGTGCTATACATAATGATGGATAATTGCCTTATATTAAAACTTGTGTAAGCCTGTATTATCTTATTCAGCAGTGACCATAAAAACTATCCATTCCCCGCAACTACTGGATTCATTTAGATCAGATCTGTCTTATGTACAGTAGTTTGTTTGTAATACATTGATGTGCAGTGCATTAAATACTTTTGTCTGATTTTTAAAAACAATAATAAAAAAAAAACGTTCACCTTTGTGTAGAGTTTCAGCTTCCAGCTCCAAGCTCTGGATTTTAGATAGGGTTTGGGTGTGAAAAACAGCATTTCTGTTGCTGATTAGGTTGTATTCACTGTTGAAAGTTATCATGTCCTTCAAGAATTTCTCTCTTTCTTCACAGGATTCTCTTTTCAGTCTGTCCTGAATTTTAAAATAATGGAAAGGCTATTATGCAGATTAATAGTACAAAATAGTACAAATAGTACAAAAGCATTATTTTAACACTTCAGCGTGTGCATTGTAGTGGATGATGGATAAAGCTAGGTCTGAAAACTTTCTTTATCAGTCCACATGATGGTGACGATTTTCATAATTATAATAATATTGTTTCAGACTTAACTTTGTTGTGTTTTAATGGAGTGTGTAATCAAGAGACAATGGTCTTATAACTCCAATGTGGAAGGTTGTATGTACCAGGTTTTCTTTGAGATCTCTCTGCATTCCAAGGAGTTCCTCTTTCTGCCTTTCCAGCTGATCTTGTCGCTTTGTCATCAATACAAACTGCAGTTTGGTTTCAGCCAGGAGCTGAGCCTACGATCACAAATTAATCATGAATTTGATCAGCGTCTTGTGTCAGATGGTCCCCAAATGAAGCATCCCACAAAATAAACTTTGCATTCACAGCAGTGACGTTTTCTAACTGGCTGCACAAAGACATTGCGGCAGCACAGCATGTTGCTCATCTGTCAGATCAGTGGCTTCAGTGCTGTTGGTTAAGGTAAGCTTATGTCATTTTGTTTGTAGGTCATTCTGTAATTGGCATAGCATTGCCTTTTGGAATTCAAGTCTCTGCTTCTCTCCTTTTACCAGCTCAGTCAAGTGTGAAAGACATCAACGATCCTTCAGGTAATTATTCTCTACCTGGCTTCAAAGAATGCACGCAAATTACGTCTCATAATTACACGGGACGCGTTGGTCTTACCAAACATATTACGCAGAAAATTAGACACGTCTTTTGTGACATTCACCATCTCAGGTGGATCACTGAGGTCATTCAAGGAGTCTGTACTAAATGTTTTAAACTTGCCACAATGCATAATGGATGAATTGTGAAAATGCTAAACATACATTTTATACAAATATTTATCTTCACTGCATGATTATCAGTTTATGTGAATAGGACACATCTGCTTTTGCATTCAGAATCCTATAGTCAGTCTCTGTATTGACCTCAGTATTCATGTAATGACCTCTTTAATCAAATGATTCAATTGCTCATTGACTTACTATGTCTGACATTGGTAGCAAACAAACTGTATACCATATGTTTGCGAGGTTAATTGTATTTTTAAAGGTTTTCAACAATAATACTAATGTAATCTGAAAGAAACTAGATTGATTTTGCAGTGCCGCTTTGAATTGATCCACTCCATTTAATGTATCCTGTCCATTAGATGAAGTGTTTTAATCATGAAACAGAATGCCTTTTCACAGCGCCAACGGATATTAATACTGCATATCAGCTTTCTGCACAGTTAAACTTTAAGATGAGTGACAGTGCACCTCCTTTGCTGTGTGGCAATATTTCTATCTGAGGTAGGCCTATACATTCACATAACACTTAAGAAAAATGAAAAGGGAAATTAATCTTTTCTAATCTGTCATTATGCGTCTCTTTTTAAACACTGGGTAACCGACCATACCTTCTCATCCAGCTCACGATGTGCTTCCTCCAGTTTTTCACGCGAGGAGTTTATTTTGTCCTGTACACTCTTGATGGCAGCTTTAACTGAATGAGCAAAATAACGAACATTTTCTATCGCTACAAGCTTAATTTTGTACAACTTTAAGAACTATTCAAATATTTAATGTGAAATAATTATATTGGTGTTTCTTCACGTTTAAAAACACTCGCGAGCTCATCTCAAATTAACCGTTAACTAATCTGCTGTTACCTTCATGAAGCTGCTTGATATTTTCTGACACCTGCTGCTCTGTCAATAAAATTTGCTCAAAAAGAGTGTCTAGACTCATTTTTATTATTATAACAATAATAATGAGAGGGAGGAAACAGGAAAGGTTAGTTTGTAATTGGTGTTTCGCGGGGAAAGCGTTTCAAAATAAACGTAGTAGATGAGAGGGCTACTCTTCTCACGCGATGCGCATGCGCAGTACCTGTTTACTGAGCGAAAACGCATGCGCAGCAACAACGATTTTCCCCTCCAGTCCGCACTATACTTTAATTCATGTTGATTAACGCAAATAAACAAACTTTGCCTAATCTACGATGAACTTCTTGGTTGACCAGAACTAGTATATGTATCTATACTATAGCTATATCTACTTATGTTTTTCTTTATTTATAATTTTATATTTCAAGCATAATATTATTTAATTGTAACTTATGTGTGCAACTTAATGTTTAAATGGACTGTTTCATTGTATATTTACCACATCAGATGCGGTTTATCTGCCTCCTTAGCAGTGTAAATATGGCAAAAGAAGAGGAATCTGGGGCAAGTTCAAGCTCAAACCGGCGTGCACCGTTTTGCTACGGTTTCCGGTTTGAACGACATGTTTCCTGTTCTTGGTACCTGGAGTCAGGTGACTTTATTCTTATTATTATTTCAGATCAAATTCTTCAGAAGTTGCACTGGCGTTACCCCATTGAGAGCATGTAGAGTGGATATGGACAATGGCATTAACTTCCAGACAGTGGCTGTCTGATAAATAGCCTTGCAGTAGCCTACCCACCGATGATCCACTGGCAGAGGTGTACCTAGACACACCACCTGTGAGAAATGTGTAAGCCCATGAGATAGCTCAGTCATTTGGCCTCCTAAACTAATGGTTTCATTCATCACCAGCCTACTTTGAAGTGCAATTGAAACTGTCAGTCTCCCTATTGTTTGGCGTTTGTAAGCACAGTCAGCAATCAATAACTTTAATTTGGTGCCATTTGGTACAGCATTTGTCACGTCATTCTTTAATTTCTCCAGTTTCCCAAACACTGCTGGAAAGAATGGTCTTGATTTGGTGCCATGCAGCACATTAAAGTGTTCTAGTTTATATGATGGTGACTATATCATTTTGACATTCATTTGCAAAATGAGTTTCATGTTTTTCAGACTTTTTCTTCAATAATCAAACTCTTAAATCAAAACGCTTTCATTTATTGTATGATACAGTGCAAATCAGGCCTTGGCCCATCCAAGAAACCATCCAACACCCACCACCCCAACTGTCCGGCCCACCTTAAATCTTAGTGCTGGAGCCAGGCCTAAATCGATTTAGTTATTACAATTCAGATAATTCCCATTAAGAGAGAGAGAGAGAAAGAGCGATGAGGTGAGGGGAATATTTCAAATGATCTTGAACCCTGCTTGTCACCAATGGCCTGTAGAAACCCAGTTCTCCACTTACGGTTATTAGAATGAAATGAACTCAGGTTAATTGAGAAATGCATTTAAACCAGACGAGGAGCATGACTCTTGATTGAACAGTTGTCAATAGCATAGTAACTATGGACATAAGGATAAATATCAAAAGTTTTCGGAGGTTTTTTCTCATGTAAAAGTTCATCTCATTGATAAGGACATATGGATTTATGTTTAACCATAGTTAACTATAAAGCCATTAAATTGTAAAAAGAATTAATAGGACAGAATAAGTAGAATGTAATCCACCAGCCTGTGTCCTCGACACAAGGATATTCCAGTGGAAAGTAATGTCCTAAAAATCTTTTTTTTAAACAAATTATATTTAAATAATAATTAAAACTAAATCTGTTAACACTTAGGCTATGTTTTAGTAGGAACACTGTCACTGTGAACAGGAACTTTACACTCACCTCTGATAACGCAAACAATTTTTCAATTCAGTGTTTAAACTTGGCAAACAAACGTTCAGTTTTCCCCTTATCAATTGTTGGATCTAAAATGTATAACATCTGTGTGCTTTTTCACTCTTCAGAGACAGTCACTCATGTTCAGCTATAGGCTAGAGCAGAGTAGTAGTGTTTTACAATTTCCACAGTGACAAATTCTTATTTTTTTATACTTTTTTTTTTGCATTAAGTATTACATTAGTTATTATTAATAACTATTACAGTTGAGTTAACAAATACATGTGTTTTTCTTTTTAATTAGGCTAGCTATAGCCAGAGGTGGACAAAGTACTCAACTCCATTACTCGAGTGAAAGTATAGATACTGCTGGTCAAATATTACTCCATTACAAGTAAAAGTTGTAAAGACAGATTTTTACTTAAGTAAAAGTACAGAAGTACTTACTTTTAAAAGTACTTAAGTACCAAAAGTAAATTTCCTTTTTTATGTCAATGCATTATTGTTGTACGAAATACTTGCAATACTTCTGAAGCAACTTAGAATACATTACACCTACTGAATAAACTGACTAGCTTGTAGTATCTTTGGAATAAAGAGCTTTTAGAATGTTAAAAACCTATACACCCCTACCCACCCCCACAAAAGCGGGATGGTAGTGGTCTCACACAGCTCTGACAGTGTGTGCACACATCTATGTGTAACCATTCATCCACATTTGAACAGAGTGGACAGTGAAATCCTATAAATACAGAGTGATAAGGACGGAAAAAAATCAAACCTGCTTTAAAACCCAGCAACACAACTGTAGCTGTACAACTTTACAACAGCAACACTGCTTTAACAAAAAA